ATGAATGGATGAAAGAAAGAAAAGAAGAAAAAAAAAAAAAAAAAAAAAAGAATCTAATATATGGATGCTAAAAAAAAAAGAAAGAAAGAAAGAAAAAAAGAAAATGGATGAAAGAAAGAAAAAGAAGAAAGTGAAAACAAAAGATAGATCTAATATAGCTGAAGAAAATAGGGCTAAAAAAAGAAAGAAAGAATGGATGAAAGAAAGAAAGAATGGATGAAAGAAAGAAAGAAAGAATGGATGAAAGAAAAAGAAAAAAAATGGATGAAAAACGAAAGAATGGAAAAGAAAAAGAAGAAAAGAAAACAAAGATAGATCTAATAGAAAGAAAAAAAGGCTAAAAAAGAAAGAAAGAAAAGAATGAATGAAAGAAGAAAAAGAAAAAGTGAAAACAAAAGATAGATCTAATATAGCTGAAAAATCTAAAAAAGAAAGAAAGAAAGAAAGAAATAAGGAATAGATAAAAAAAGAATGGATGAAAAACGAAAGGAAGAAAGAAAGAAAGAAAGAAGAAAAAGAAAAAATGAAAAGAAAGATAGATCTAATATATCTGAAAAAAATAAGCTAAAAAAAAGAAAGAAAAAAGAAAGAAATAAAATCGTTTGAAAAATAAATAAATCTTGGAAAGAGAAAGAAAAAAATGAAGTTTCAACCCTAAATGATAGATGACCTTTTTCTCGCGCGTCGTTGTAAGAGAACTTCTTAGGAATATTCTCTAGAATGACCGACTGCGTACGAAAGATTTAAGAACTGCAATCTAAAGCCAGAAAGGAAAAAGATGAATTAAAACACTGGAGGGAGTGGGTTGACAGGATCGAATCCTGTCATCTTGTGACTTTCCTCAATTAATGGTCGAGTCATTTATCATATCATCACGTCAACTCACTGTTATATTTGTCAGCAACAACCAATCAATATATCCAACACGTGTCAATATCAACTATTATTAATACTAGCGCGCTGGCGGAGTTTTCACACCACGCGTAACAAATAGATTCCATTGCAGATCAAGTGGCAACAAGACGCCTCAAACTTTCAACAACTTCTTCAGTTTTTGAAGCATTTTGATTTCCTTATCAACCAAGTTTTTTTTTGTTTTCAAGTCTCTTGGTGATTGTATTTAATGGTCCATATTATGAAGAGAATAATTATCATATTTCTTACTTACTTTCTGACTAATATCCCCATCTTTGGTGTTATCATAACAAAGATGAAGAAATTAGTCGGACATTGAGCTAAGTAGATATCTACACGCCTGAAGCTATGAGTACACTGACTAGTTCTAAAATATGTGTCCAGTAATTTGTTTTTTTCACACATGGTCTTATCTTTGTGACCAACCAAAAACAACAATTTCTTCCTTTTATCCACATCCCAAGTTTGATAATCGGAAGCAAATTGTAAACGGGAGCTTTTATGGCGAAGAAGGCGAGGCCTCTGCAGCCGTTTCAAGTTCTTAAACCTTTTCTTATTTAAATGCAGTCGAATTGTTCGAGAACTGCATTCAGCATCTGTATTCGCTTTTATTAGACTAGATGTTAGACTTGAATCTCTCTTAACTTCTTGCCTAATGCGTCTGTCTAGTGATGGTGAGATTTTATTGGGGCAATCACTTGATTCTTTTTTAGAAGCATACACATCCGGATTTTTAATGAAGTTAGCAATGACAGTTCTTCTACGACCAATTTCATTTGCAATGGCTCGTTGCGAAAGACCGCGTCTTTGAAGTTCAACAATCCTGCCCTGTTCGAACCTTGTTAAAATTCTACCCTTAGCCTTCCTCTTAAAATCTGAAATTTAATACTGGAAATGAGCTAAATAGATATCTACACACCTGAAACTATGAGCACACTGACTAGTTCTAAAATATCTGTCCAGTAATTTGTTTTTCACACATGATCTTATCTTTGTGACCAACCAAAAAATGTCTTTTATTCAATGTTTGCTTAAAATAATCAATTAAAATCTTAAAATTTTAACTTGTTTGTTGATAAACTACATTTTCTAATTAAATATAAATGTTTCGCAAATATATTTTAATTAAAGTAACAGTATTTTATTTTTTTAACCCTTTTGTATCTGGTCTAAATATTTTGACCAGGGATGCAAATATGAGGGTAAGGTAACCGCCATCGGCGCTGACGGTAGATTTGACGTGCCAAGATCAAATTCTACCCGAGTGATTTTCACTAATTTTCTTTGAAAATGGTTTTGAATCTGTTTTTTCTCTGGATATAGGATGAATAGCAAACACGACTGGAATCTTTACCTTTGACAGTACAATAAGAGAAAAGCAAATCTGGGGCCAAGACAAGCCTAAATAATTCTAATAAAATAAACTCGTCAAAAAAACCGGTACTCCTTCGATGACCGTAGTTAAGCAGCGTTGATCCCGATTATTTACTGAGATGGGGGATCTCTTGAGAAAACTGGATACTGTAAGCTACGTCCTGCAAGCCGACATATTTCGGCTTTAAATAACCCACAACGGGTTGATAAGACGTTAAAAAAAATCAATAAATAAAATGCGACATTTTTTACAGACACGGCTTACGGCCGCATCATATTAAAACTCTGATTCCCGTATGATCAGCGAAGTTAAGCAAAGTTGAGCCTGCTCAGTACGTAGATAGGTTATCGCTTATTTGGACGCGTGATGAAAACTTGAAACTCTTTTGTAATATCATGATAAATAAAAAAGGAGGATTGAACGAATATATCTAAATAACTAATAGATTAATAATGATTTTTGTCATTTATTCGTTCTAATCATTTTTTTACTCATTAAAGAATTTTCCCGCGCTGAATTGCGTATTCTTTTAATCCAGTTTTGATTCGATTAATTCTTAATTATTAGTATCTAACACAATCGTGTATAACTCGCATGTCAAAATTTATTTTACAAAATTCTGGAAAGATATTTCGTATATAATACCTATAGGATTATTAGTATCTGTAACAGTTAAATTTAACCTAATTTTAACATTTGTGCTTCATTATATCCCTTGGTATTATCTCTTAGGTCTATGGTCTTACTTGGCTATAAGAGCAACATGAGACAGGTTATATTGAGTTATCATATATCAGCAAGGATCGAACAACTAACTTGAACTATTATCGAACATACAAAAGGTTTTCTAATGACATGACAAAATGGAATTTACTTAATGATGTGGTATGAAATGAATTTTTCGTGTTCCATGAACGTTCGGGTAAAAATAGACTAAACCAAAATTTGAACTTGATTCACACTCTTCCTTCCTTTGTAAAATTAACTGTTTTGTCACACATGTATATACTGATGTAATGAATAGACGAGAAAAATATTCCAAACGATTTTTATTGTTTTTTGTTGTTGTTATTTTTTGTTTTTTTAAGGGGAGATGAACGTGAAGAAAATCACCAATATTTTCTTGCTGATTATATAGATCTTCTCAGGTTTTGAATTTAGATATTTTTTTTCTTTTTATTATGAAAACCGAATTGATCAGGAAAATCTTTCCAATAGTTTCTGATTTATTGCCTAGACTTAAGAGTAGAATTACTGCAACAATTCCTTAAGCATGTCTTGCAAATAGAGCACCCCCAAATATTGTTCTAAAATACATTCTTTATACACAGAGATGCATACAGGGTGCAAAAGCAAAATTGGCAAAATTCACAAAATATTTAATAAGTGAAAAATCACATAACTAATTGTGTTTCTTTTTTCCAGGTTTTCAGATAAGACGTTTAGCCATCTTGATACCATTTGCCGTATGAATCGCTAAAAAAAAAAAACACTCCGAGTTATTAAGCTAGAAAGAGAACAGGTTAATAACGTTTTGCGTCAGCCCAACTCTATTCTTACCTGAGCAATGATGAGAGAAAAATCATTCCGGCCTTCAGTAATCGTACTCTGACGTATCAGGTGTTGGCTCTTTATAGTTGTTTTTTCTTTAGTACTATATATATATATATATATAAGATTTTTTATGTTTATACATTCTTTATATAGATGCAAATATTTGAGTAAATGCTCCGTTTTAGAATAAACAGTATTTAACATTTACCGGCCTGAATGTCCGAAAAATTTTCACAGAAAATATTCGTCCTCCGACAGGATTCGAACGTGCATCCTATACGGAACCGTCATTTAGCTTGATGTGCCTTTACCGATTTGGCCACAGAGAAGCGTCCGGTTAGCAAGGTCGAATTTACTGTCTATAAACTACAATATTCCATGAATCTCTCACGTACACTCATATCTGCTCATGGTGTATCAAATGTAAACAAATGACGTTACACATTATGAAATAGAGAAATTTCGACAATTATTTTAAGACATTTTTATGTTTCTACATACCTTTTATAGATACAAATATTTGAGTAAATGCTCTGTTTATAATAAACAGTATTAAACAACATTTACCAGCCTGAATGTCCTAGAAAATTTCACAGAATATATATATATATATATATATATATATATATATATATATATATATATATTCGGTGTACCAAAATTGTCCAAAGCGTGTAACAGCATAATGAAGAAATAACAAGTTAAAATTGTTTTGTATCAGACCCACGGTCTTCCCAACTGAACAATGGTAAGAGAAGAGTTCAGAGAACAATGGTAAGTTCAGGCCTTCAATAATGGTACAAACATTCATACACTGGATTCCATCTTCAATGTCCATTCAAGAAACATCAAGATAATGGTGATTAAGCTTTAAAAAGTGGGAACAGTCGAGAGGAAAACTCAATCAGGAGGTCACAACAGGAAGAGGGATTATTTCAACTAAGAACTAAAGATATAAATTAGAAAAGATCTAATTCAATCCATAAGATATTTGGCACGGGAGAGAGAAGTTTCAGCTATGACAGTCCAAAGAGCAGTGGAAAAAAAAAACTTGAAAATGAAATCGTACGTGAAACCTACGAGGCAACCTTTTACTCCAGGACATAAAGTTCGAAGGTTAGAAAATGTGTATATCATCTTGAATAAGTCGGAAAACGATCCTAAATTACATATATATATATATATATATATATATATATATATATATATATATATATATATATATATAGTACTAAAGAAAAAAACAACTATAAAGTATATTATAATATATTTGAACACTATTTTAATGAGCTTCCGATTCTTAGCTGTGATTAATTAATGATGGACATATCATTTTCGTTTATGAGCGATTTCATCATGAGCCTTCAGCTAATCTTAGAAAATAATTATATATTCTTATTGCTTAAAGTATATTCCAGTGGTCTTATAAAAACCTCGGAAAATTCCAGAAAGATATATTTAATTATTTCTAAGATACAACGGTTCAAAGCTTAATCCAACAATCAGACAATTTTGCAGTTACAAGATTTGGACAATTTTGCTGTTACGCCCAGTATATATGCATACACACGTCATTATAATGAATAAAATGACACCTATAATAATATTATATATTTACACACATATATATAACATACGCACACATACACACACACACACACACACACACATACATATATATATATATATATATATATATATATATATATATATATATGAATATTATATTTAAGTAAATACACTGTTTATAATAAACCGAATTTATAATCGAACCTGTATTCTATACGGAACCGTCATATAGCCTGACGTGCCTTAACCGATTGGGCCACAGAGGAGCGTTCGTTTTAGCAATTGTGAATTGTGAGAATTTGTTTAAAAAAAGTAAAATCAGGCTTGCTAACCGAACGGCAACAATCGGTTAAGGCACGTCAGGCTATATATGATTTGTTCCGTATAGAATACAGGCTCGATTCTGTCGGAGGACGCATATTTTCTATGAAGATTTCTTGGACATTCAAGCCGGTAAATGTTGTTAATGTTTTCACACATGGTCTTATCTTTGTGACCAACCAAAAACAACAATTTCTTCCATTTATCCACATCTCAAGTTTGATAATCAGAAGCAAATAGTAAACGGGAGCTTTTATGGGGAAGAAGAAGGCGAGGCCTCTGCAGCCGTTTCAAGTTCCTAAACCTTTTCCAATTTAAATGCCGTCGAATTGTTTGAGAGCTTCATTCAGCATCTGTATTCGCTTTTGTCTATAAATGTTGTTAATACTGTTTATTATAAAGAGAGCATTTACTTAAATATTTGCATCTATAAAAAGAACGTATAAAAAAATTTCTTAAAATAATTGTCGGACTTTGTCCATTTTTTAACGTGTGACGGCAATTGTTTACATCTGGATACTCATCGAGCAGATATGAATTTATGAAAGAAAATCATGGAGAATTGTGGATTAAAAACAGTTAAATCGACCCTGCCAACCGAAATGCTCCTCTGTGCCAAAATCGGTAAAAGCACGTCAAACTCTATGACGGTTCCGTATAGGATACAGGTTCAATTTCTGTCGGAAGATGCATATTTTCTATGGAAATTTCTCGGACATTCAGGCCGGTAAATGTTGTTAATACTGTTTATTTTAAACAGAGTATTTACTTAAATATGTATATCTATAAAACGAATGTATACACATAAAATGTCTTATATAATATATATATATATATATATATATATATATATATATATATATATATATATATATATATAGAGAGAGAGAGATGTGTGTGTGTACTGGGTGTCGCTAAAACTGCACATTTTTACTTTGTTGTCAATTTGTATATTTATAAATACGCAGTGCATTTCATTTAATATTTAATTTAAACCGTTCATGTTGTTTATAAGACAATAAACCTTAATGTTTCTTAATTGTGACTATTAAATTTGTTTGCAATTCAATGAACATGTACTTATTATCATTTAAAGAACCACAGCATTTTTGGAGGCACGTGTACATAAATATGAACGATTAATGAGGGAGAAAATCAGGTAAGGGAAAGAGATATTTCATTTGTGCTTTCAGCCTTGCTGGGGGTGACAAAGCTACAGTGACAGGTGAAATTTGTTAATGCAGGATTTTGATGGCGTCTCTGCTTCTGCACTTGATGATCACAGTGCTTCAATCTACAGTTTCAAAAGCCTTTAACTTAATGAAACGTCTTACACCACTCCTTTCGGTTTGATTAATGGGGTATTGAATTTTGTCTACATGTAATTTTATATTATTATATTATTATCATATTAATTTTGTATACACATATGCTCTGTAATAAAGGTCTTGTTTGTCGATAAGTTTTAATATTTTATATTACTAGGATTCATTTGGATTATTTACCACGGAGTTTACACACACACGCGCGCGCGCGCGCGTCTGTGTTTGTGTGTGTGTGTGTGTGTGTGTGTGTGTGTGTGTGTGTGTGTGTGTGTGTGTGTGTGTAAACTCCGTGGTAAATAATCCAAATGAATCCTAGTAATATTTGTGTGTGTATGTTATATGTATGTGTGTAAATATATACTATTATTATAGGTGTCATTTTATTCATTATAATGATGTGTGTATGCATATATACTGGGCGTAACAGCTAAATTGTTCAAATCTTGTAACTGCAAAATTGTCTGATTGTTGGATTAAGCATAAAATTTGTATGTTTAGGCTGCAATCCCTCTTTCATGCACATTTCATTGAATAACACAGACAAGGTGCTTTTCAAGGATTAAATATTTTATCTGTTAAATAAGAAATGGTTTTGTTGTATGCATGTTTTATAAAATGTTTTCATTTTTCAAAGCACAGTCAAGATCTCATTTAAATATTCATGGAGACCTACCGGACACTATCCGTAACATACTTGTTGACAACAGTGATATAATAGCATCATCAACATGGAAAAAACTGCTGAAAATAGTGGAAGCCTTGTTAATAAAATAAAAAAAACAACACTTAATAATATTAACCTTGAAAATGGACACAACATATTGACAGTGTTTTGAAAAATGAAAACATTTTATAAAACATGCATACAACAAACTATTTCTTATTTAACAGTTAAAATATTTAATCCTTGAAAATGGCTAAATGTATAGCCGAAAGCGCTCGGATAAAAAGAACATTCGGACAGTTTTTATATAATTTAGCATCCGGAAAGAAAAAAAGTATTAGATCATGAGAAATTGTATAAAAAACTAAATAAAACACCTTGTCTGTCGTATTCAATGAAATGTGCACACACACACACACACACACACACACACACACACACACATATATATATATATATATATATATATATATATATATATATATATATATATATAAAAAAAGAAATATAGTCTTAAGGTGTGCTATATTTATGGGATAAAGTGCTCAATATCAGAGATAGAGCGTGTGTAAATATAAAGTGAACATAAAGTCAACACGGTTTGTTTTATATATGCAATCAAACAGTCTGTTTCATGCTATATGCAATGTCGGCTATGATTGCATATTGAATATTTACAAACAATTACACATATATATATATATATATATATACAATAGGACGTCTTGCTACACTGAAGGGGTGTGATACAGCGAAACACTCTCTATGTAGATGAAAATATATATGTTCCCTCGAAAACCGGTTGAGCTCTTTTGGGAAAAGGGTAATTTTAAAAACAGTGGCTGCCATTAGCGCATCGCTCTTCAACTGAACTGAGCTCTCCGAGCCACTGGCGTATTTCGCATAGAAAAACGTTAACATTTCCTGTTCTCTCTGTCGTGCGACGATAGCCTAGGTCTCGGATCTCTGACATGTCAAATCAGCCGGGTTTCGATCCCGGCTTGAAGCAATCGGACGTCTAAACACACTGAAGAGTTATGATACAACTAAACAGTCTCTCTGTGGATAAGAATACACACACACACAGATACAGACAGACAGACAGACACACACACACACACACACACACACACACATATATATATATATATATATATATATATATATTTATATATATATATATATATATATATATATATATATATATATATATATATATATATATATATATATATATGATTTCGGTTTCGATTATTTTTATTTTGAAGCAATCGGACGTCTAACCACACTCAATAGTTGTGATACAACTAAACAGTCTCAACAACACACACACACACAGATACATACATATATATATATATATATATATATATATATATATATATATATATATATATATATTCTTGTGTAAAAAAGAAAGAAAAATTAAGCATTCTGGAGATAACGCATATCAATAATTATCCATCGGAAATTACAAGGCTGATGATTTTTCTGTGATTCAATCAGTATGCATGTGTATATAATATATTGTATATTTTATATATTATCTGCGTGTACTTATGTGTATGCATATCTGTTTTTGTGTGTGTTTATTTGGAAGCGTTTCTGTTGTCCGTTTCTACTTTCCGATCCGAAGTCTTTTTCCTAGGATTCTTCCAACCCAGAATAGGAACTCTCGTTACCATAAATCAAAAATGACAATTGACGCATCCGAAGATTATACAGCCCCGACCACGGAAATCGAACACTACTTCACAAGCCAATCCTTCATCACGTATCCACGAAAGATAGAAGACATGCTAACATCAATATGTCACTCAAACCATCTTCAAGCACAGGGCGAGCCTCTAGCAAGCAACTATGCAGCTCGTCCTTTCGCCTCTCTTTTACCCTTACTGAAAGAAAAACAACGCCTCGTTTTCGCCACAGAGCGGCACGCTGTAACAAACCGGCAAAGCATTTCTGGCTATTTTTCTTCTACATTCCTTACCTTGACTTTACCCACAAATCAATAACTTTTCAATGAATTTACTTTATTCGATTAATCTTATCCTGCTCCCACACTCGACTTTATATTTCTTCAATTGTCACACATTTCCTTGCATCGAACGATTTGCTCCTAAATATATATCGACCAGTATTATAGACTGGATACGATATCTATCTATCTATCTATCTATCTATCTATCTATCTATCTATCTGTATGTATGTATGTATGTATGAATGTGTGTATGTATGCATGTATGTATTTATGTATGTATGTATGTCCCAGTCTTTTCAAATCTATCTATCTATCTATCCTAGTCTTTTCTAATATCTAATATATCTATCTATATAGCTATGCATCGCAGTCTTTTCAAATCTATCTATCTATCTATCTATCTATCTATCTATCTATCTATCTATCTATCTATCTGTATGTATGTATGCCTGTCTGTATGTATGTATGTCCCAGTCTTTTCAAATCTATCTATCTATCTATCTATCTATCTATCTGACTGGCCTAGTCTTTTTTAATCTATCTATCTATCTATCTATCTATCTATCTATCTATCTATCTATCTATCTGTCGCAGTCTTTTCAAATTCTATCTATCTATCTATCTATCCTAGTCTTTTCTAATATCTAATATGTCTATCTATATAGCTATGTATCGCAGTCTTTTCAAATCTATCTATCTATCTATCTATCTATCTATCTATATATATATATATATATATATATATATATATATATATATATATATATATCAGTCTTTACGAATCTATCTATCTATGTATCTCGGTGAGGCGAACATTCAGGCAGGTAGACGAAAATAAATAAAAAAAAACACTAAAAAGCTATCCATTCATCATACAAATGACCCCTCTCTGCTTTCCATCAGCATGGCTGATTCAAACCTCCTGGAAACTGACTCATTGCGCCTTCTCGCGCTAATGTTCTCAGCTGAAGGTGAAAGACCATATTAAATCCATTGCTAGATCAGCTCCTAAGAATGTTGTGTCTTGTGAGACAATTTTTCTCTCCAGAATCTATCTTACATTATCAATAAGTCTACCATTCGTCCATGCTTAGAATATTGCTGCCACATATGGTCCGGTTTCCCTGATATTCATCTTGAGCTCCTTGATAAAATCAGCAATATTATTGGTCCTCCTCTGGCGGTTCGGCTTCAGAAACTTTCACACCGCCGTAAGGTTGACCTCCATTGCTTATTCTATAAATGCTATAATTGTTCGGATGAGCTCATTGCTATAGTATCTAGACTTTTTGAATATAAGTGCAGTACTAGAGTGAGATCTCATGAATTTACCGTTGAGCTGGCTAGATGTAGCCGTATGTTCTATGCTAACAGTTTTTTCTCTCGCACTTCTCGCTTGTAGAACTCGCTTGCAGCTCCATGATTTCCAGCCAAATTTAATCTACAAAAAATAAACCCAGTTATGGCTGTCAGACAATTTCTACGACCACACCACCCCTTACATCTGGCCACCTAACTCCCCAGGCTGCAACACCCTTGATTATTATGTGTGGGCCGCAGTTGAGCCATAGACCAACAAAACTCCTTGTAACACCAAAGTTAAACTGAAGGCAAGAATTATGACAGCATTCACCAACAAGGAGACCATCCAGAAGAGTTGCAGGAGATTCCAAGGTCGTCTAGAGGCCGTGGTTGAAGCCAACAGCTATTTTAATAAATTATCATTTTCATTTTGGCGTAATTTAGACGAAAATTAATCCATCGCACTCTGTATGTGTTTGAACATTAAAGGACAAACAAGTACGATTAATGTTAAAAATGCGTTTATATTGTATGGAAATACAACATCTGCTCAAATCTTGCAGCAGGAATTATCCGTTTAGGAGGGAAATAACGTTAATTTGACAATAAGAGAATTATTTTGTTTATCAGCAATGGTAAAAGCCCACTCGTGATGAGATCACTCTTGATTCTTTAAAATCTCTGGGTTCCGTGGGGAAATATCAGCTCCAAATTGTAAACAAAAGCTGTAAATCAGGGGTCGGCAACTGATTCGACCCCGCGGGCCGGATCGTGTTATAATGACGGGTCGCGGGCCGGACGAAGGCCATTAATGAAAAATTAAGGAAAATTACATCTGCAGACCCCTGTCAACCTAAATATTTAAAACCATAATGAAAATAAACATTGAGAAATCAGAAAAACAAAAGAAAATCTAAAATTAAAAAGACACCTACCAAAATTACTTTTCCTCAAGGAACGTCAAAATATTTCAAAGTGAAAAAAATCAACCGAAGTGAAATAGATGAAATTATGACGTGTAGGTTTGAAACTGTTATTGAAAATTGTTCCACAAACGAACCACACACACGTCAAACAAAAACGAAGCACATATACCCATACATACGAGTACAAATAGTTGCAAATATATACACTTACGTACGTACACATGCGGTATCATCCACACATTCATGAGGCATGTATGTATAATGCGCGTATGTGTAACTGTCTTTAGATTTCTGCTACCTCGCATGTCAGTCCCTCCCTGGCCTCTTTCACTTTATCGTTCCTTTCGCTTCTGTTATCTTTTATGTATCCATTATTTGACATTAAATGTAGGCAACGCAACTTGGTAAAATAAGTCTCATGAAAGATAACTGGCAGACAGTCTAAATTCGAAAGCCTCGTCTCTCATGTTAAAAATAGAGTCATTGGTAATCAGGCTCGCGGGCCGGATAAAATGCTTTCGCGGGCCGAATCCGGCCCGCGGGCCGTAGGTTGCCGACCCTTGCTGTAAATGATCTTCAAAAAAAAATAGCAGAATATGGTTTGGTTTATTAGAAGCTTGTAGAAATCGGATATGCGCTTATCGACGTAAAATCGGCAATTCGTGTTTAGATTCGATCCTTTTCTATTCCGTTCACTTTCTCCCTATAGGAAAGGCATGGATTCATCTCTTCCTCCCCCGATATTGGTTACATAGTAGGGTAGACTGGTCTGTATAGTTTTGGTGGCAATAAGTCTACGAGATTGACTGCTTCGAATTCAAAGCAATGCAACGAGAAACTAGTTCTCTACCTTTGCGAAGAAGCCAAAGCAATATATAACAAAATGAAAGAAACTGTGGAGAGCCATGATCGCCGACGTCCTGAAAGGTAATGGCATAAAAAATTTAAAAAAAGAATAGAATAATAAAAATAAACCTATGAAACCTTTACGAATTAACTCTGTTTAGTCCTGACCACCGCTTTATCGGTCGGAGAGAAAAATGACTTAATCCCAAGCCACCGTTGGAATGGTAAGTAAACACTAGCTATTCTTTTGAATCAAGAGAGGCAGTACCTGTTGGGTAGACTTGTACATAAAAAAAAGGATTCGGGCGATAAAGTGAAGGCAAGCAATTATACGCTCTCCCTGATAATTATAATGCTTATATTTTTTTTAACTATTTTTTTCTCTATCTTGAAATATTACATACCAATTATTTGCGAATTTTGATACAGGAGCACAGGCAGAATGGTTAAAATTGTTCAGGGCCGCAGTGCTTAAAGAGTTAAGAACGAAATCTTGCGTTAAAAGCTCAAGACTTGGTTAGCAGAATATAATTCCGCCGAATGGTAATGGAAACTGATAGAAGATCTGATTGTTAATTTGGAATTTTACAATATAAGTCTAAACCTAATCGGCTTAGCACCTTAAGATTTATATATAATCAAATGGAAGATATTCTTTGTGGCCAAATGCTTTCAATGTGGAGAAGTCACTTCATTATCCGAAATAGTCTCAAGTAGAATTGAAAGATCCTTTAACAATAAAGAAATAATTATTTTTACGGTGTTCTTAGCAGATAAATTTCAACCTTTGTTATTAGGTTGTTGGGAAATTAATGCCCAATTTTAGAATAAATCCTTTGTGTTCTAATATAGTGTTATAATAGATGCACAAATATATATTTCTCATTCCTAATAATTAATGTGTCCTCTTTGTTAATTTCATATAAAGTTCTTTCAGAATTTATCTTAAAATCATTAAAATCATTATATACCCTTCATCGTGTACATGAAAAGAATGCGAAATGTTAATGCTTCTCAAAGTGCAGGCAACATTAATAAAGCATATTAGGGAAGGGTCCACTTGTGGTCGGATAGTACGGGGCTGGTTTCTGAAGTTCCTCAGTGGGGATACGAGTCTCGTATATCAAGTGAACGTCCATCTGCACAATCCAGTTTTGAAAACACTACTAGAACAAAACCCCTATCAAAGTGTCAGAATAATCTATTAGTATTTCAACAAGAAAATTTGCAGCTAAGTTTAAAGAGTTCGACGTTTTGAAATGTTTCCATTATTTTCATTATTCGGACTGTTATCCTCATCTTCATTGCCATATTCGCAACGTTCTACGATCCGGTGATTGGAATTTCCAACCGAACCTTTTATTTCGTCTAGTTCCGCGTGCCATGCCTCTTCCGGACGTCTCAGTTATTTACGTTTAGCTCAACTTTTCAAGTTTTATGGTTCAGCCTGGTATTGAACTTCCAAATCTTTGGATGTAGTCACTGGATCTAATCAATGTCATTATCCACTGAGGCACATGTCCTTGACGACATTTGAATTTCTGGGACTTATAAACGTATTATCTCATCCTCAATTTTTACTTTTGCTCATATTGCAAGTTTTTTCGTTATTATTATTGCATTTTTTTTTTTTGCCAGAGATTACATTGCAGTTTTTTTGTGTTGTTATTCATTGCTTTCTCTATGACGATAAAAGTCCGAATAATGTAAATAATCATAATAACTCATGTCAGGGATATAGACAGATTTTGAAATGTGTTCGATACTGCGTAAATCGAATAATCTATGTCCTGATCGAACTTTCACTTATGATGAGAAATGGATAATGTATGACAAATCGTAAATGATTGGCTTCATGCCGAAGGATCCAAATGTTTCCCCAAATCGAAATTGCAACGAGATAAGATTATATTGGTTTCCTGTTGGTCTATCACTGGAGTTATCCATTACAGTTTTCTGGAATCTAAACAGAGCGTCACTGCTGAAGTTTACTACCAGCAACTGGATGAAATGTACATTCATTTAAGCAAAATATAGCAGGGATCTCATTAATCGCGAGGTCCAATTCTGCTTCATGACAATGCTTGGCCGCATATTGCCAAGATGACCCCAAAGAAGGCCACTGCGCAACATCAACCCTATTCCCCTGATTTCTCGTCCACTGTTATGTATCTTGAAAATTGTCTAAAGCAAAATACATTATGTCGCAATAATGATGCACAAACTGCAAAGATTTCTTGGCCTCCAAAACTTTAATTATCGTAATGGCATAAATAATCTTGTAAGTTGATAGCAGAAACATAGTTGTTCAGTGTTATGGGGTCCACCCCTTTTTCATATAAGTGGACTCTACCAAGTGTAACTGGACTGCTGCCGTTAAATACCCAGAGTTAGACAGTCAGTGAGGGTAGTCGGATGTAGTGAGGTAACCTCTTGGAGAAGTCAGTTACAAGCACGTAGACTCTAAGAAAGTCCTACTTCGAGACTGTATATATCTATCTGTATTTGCTACTAACCGTGTTCCTGGATTTACTAACAGTATTACCCTTTATATGATTGTGTAAATACATTTTA